ATTCATGTTTGCAATCAGGCCGTCTTTAATTGAATCAGGAAGATTCAGTCTTGTTCGACTCCTAGTTTTGCAAATCCCCAATATTTTGTATTCCCCCAATATTTTGTATTCGATAACATAGTTATGAATTAGGAAAAATTAGTCTAAGATTCTTTTCTTATTTTTAATAATAGATCCACAATATTATTTTATGATGTCTAAGATCCTTCAATTCCCGACACGCATATATCACAGAGAAATTTGATCCCCTCAAATCAAACTATCTCTCCCTCTCTTCCTCTCTCTCTGCTCTTCTCTCTCTGATGAACTGTTTGACAAAATACTTCTTAGAACTCCAAAACACATAACTGTGAGATTTGATTTGACAAAACTTTTCTTAGAACTGTAAAACATATAGCTATGAGCTTTGAAACTAACCTGTTTGATAAAATGCTTCTTAAAAAAACAATTATAGAGAAAAACAATCACAATTTTCTTTGATTTGTTTAAAACACAGAGAAAATTGTTATTGTTTTTAGTTTCTAAGTAGCCCAATTTTCTCTGAATTGTTCAAAACACAGAGAAAATTTTGATTTTTTTTTCTGGTTTCTAAGTAGCCCAATTTTCTCTGATTTGTTCAAAATACAGAAAACATTGTGATTGTTTTTTGTTTCTAAGTAGGCCAATTTTCTCTGGTTTGTTCAAAACAATCACATGTGATTGTTTTTGGTTTCTAAGTAGTCTAATTTTCTCTGGTCTGTTCAAAACACAGACATAATTGTGATTATTTTTTGTTTCTAAATAGCCTAATTTTCTCTGATTTGTTCAAAATACAGAGAAAATATAATGATTCTGGTTTTGACCTGTTATCTATTGTATTCCGGACTTGGGTTGGTTTGATTTTGAGTAGTTATTCTTATCTTCTTCCCTTGTCTTTCCCTTCATTTTGGTTATCAGGTTGTAGTTGTGCGTTTGGGACATATTAGTTGTTTGTATTTCAAAACCTGTATTGCCTAGATTTTGCCCTTGCCGCTCGACCGAGCATTCTCACGCTCGAGCAGGCTTCACAATTTTGCTCCTCCGCTCGAGCGGCCATTTTTGTACTTGAGCGGAATTCATCAACTCTCAGTATTTCTTTTGCAGGTCTGAAATACTGGAAGTGTGGACCAGACGCTTGAACGTCCACTTCCACGCTTGAGCGGCGACCTTCGTCTGCAGAACTTCTAGAAGTGTGCATTCCACACTCGAGCGCCTCTTTTCTCGCTCCAGCGGAACTATGTGTCTGACGCTCGAGCAGTGTTTTCCACGCTCGAGCGGGTTGCGTGTATTTCAGTCCGAGAAGATAACATTTTGGATCACTTTTTCTTCTCTCTTTCTCTCTCTCTAAAACTTTCCAAAAAGCTTGTTCTCGAGCTTCTCTCTCTAGAATTCACATTCTCTTTGGGATTTCATCTAGATCCGTTGGGATTTCCACCCTAGTGCCTTTGAGAAAAAGGTAGAGCTAGGCAAGATCTACATTTTGATCCGAATAGAAGTGGGTTTCGGTACTCTTAGAGTTTCTCTCTTGTGTGGTTCATCTTCTTCCTTTGAAGTAGGGATCTTTCTATACTTTTATATGGTATTTAACTTAGTTATAGTCTCTTGTGTAACAATTGAGTAATTTGGGAAGGTTTTAAACAAACCTAAGATTTGGACATAAAATGGAAAGAGAAGTTTTAGGTGAAGATGAAATAAATGCTTGAGGGGTTTGAAAATGATGTTGTGTTTTATAAAATTTGATGATTTTGGCACTTGGCTAATCTTTGGAAAAAATGAGAGATTTTGTCCAAATTGAATCTAATTATTATTTTATATAAATATTGTAAATTGACATTGAAAATGTGAAATTGAGAGGGTATTGATATGAATAGTGGGATTGGTCAAGTGTTGTTTCATTCTTTGGTAGTTTTGAATAAACTATATGTTATGAGATTTTATATCTGTTTAGAAATTATTGTATTGGGTTATCGGTGAAGGATAACTATGATTGTTGTAGAAAATACAAACGAATTAGGTGAATTGGAACTAATTACTTGTGCTGGTCATTGAAGATGACTATATTTATGTACATCGTATATGTATGATCATTTGGGAGTGGAAAGAGGATATACTCTATAGTTTGAGTTTGTGTTTAAATACGTTGTATATGTATGAATGATTGTTTGGGAGGAGAAGGGGGATGAACTCCATTATAATTAAGTTGACTGGAGTGTCCTGGATGAAAGTCCCGAAATTATACATGGAGTGCTTAGCCCGGGGACGAAATATTCGTAAAATGACAATTGTAGTGCTTGTATAGCCTTCGTCTCCATGAGTTCCGTTTGACGGCTGCCCACGGACGAAATATTCATGAATGAAAAGTTTGAAGTGCTTGCATGTTAATAATGTGATTTAGAATTTGTGAGTTTAGTCTCATTTTGGTTGTTGAGAAATAAGGAAATGGACTTATGAATTGGGTCAGATAAGTGAATGTAACATGAACTGAAAGTAAATGGATTAAGACTTGAAATGAATATATTTACGGGTGTATAAAGTTATGAAAAATGTTATTACGAGCATTGTTTATGCACTTGTACATATGCTTTTGTTAAATTTCATATACTATGTTAGATTATTTCTACTGGGTTATGGCTCACCATACTTGGGAATAACTTTTCAGGTAATGATGGCATGCCTCCACCTATGCAATAGCGTTGGAGGAATTTTTGGAAGCAAGAGTTTCATCTTTTGATTGTATATTTTTGTAAAGCCAAAGACTTAAGATGTAATGAGCGAAACTCACTTTTGTGGTAATCAAGTTAGAGCTTGGAAAGGTGTAAGCCAATAGGGCATCTACTTCTGTTAAACTTTTGTATCCATTAACTCCTTGTAATGAAAGGACTTTATACTCTATGTATGTTGTTATTTAAATATGCTCATGGGTTATATCTATGGTATTATTTTGGGGGCGTTATAGAAAAATTCTCTGGTTTGAAGAGAATTTCTCTAGTTTGAAGAGAATTTCTTTGGGAAGTCCAGAGAAAATTAGAAAAATTTGCAAACTGGAGAAATTTGGAGAGAATTTCTCTTGGAAGTCTAGAGAAATTCTCTAGATTGAAATCTCTTTGAATTGATGTATGAAGGACCTTAGACATTATGAAAATATTGAATATCCTTTATACTATAAAATCTTAATATCAGGAATCCTAAAAAAAAAATTCCCCTATGAATTATTTACATAGAGATATGAAAAAAATTACACAATAATTGAATACTTTATATCTTATTTGCCTTGGGTAACATTGCCTTGGGTAACATATATAAGATTCACAAGTCGTGCAAAGATAATCAAAAATTATTTTGGTGTGCTAAGCTATTGTATAAAGGGAAACTCTATGGTGTCCTTGGGCATGTATATCATGTGCACTCTATTATAAATTGGTGTAATTTTATCATAAATTTTATAATATTAATTGCAAAATATATAATTTCGTCACAAATTTATGTAATAAAATGTTTAAACTATTATAGTTGATGTTACAAAAAAATTGTGGCTTATGGCAATTTATAGTGAAATTACTTATTTTGTAATTAATATTATAAATTTTTATAATAAAAGTTTCTTAATTTAAAATACTTTTTTATGAATAGATACTGTTGGAACAATCTTCTGTGTAAATAAAATAAATAGAAATAAATCCAAACAAATAAATAAATAACGTACCGAATTTATTTATTAAACTGAATAAATAATTTAAGACCAAGTCGAGTGTGTGACACTCTGTCCTTAAGACAGATTCGCCCCGCTACGGTGCTTACGGTTGAGTGGCGTCTATCTCCCAAGATACAATGATCTTCACAAAATTGTTGTAGCACACCAAACAAATTTGTACGTCGAACCAAACCTGCGTTCTAATACTCTCTGAAATTATTTCTAAAACTAATATGAAGAAATAATGCAAATAGAAAAATTTGGACAGCAAAATGAAAGAATTTCAGACTCTTTTTTCCGACCCTTGATTGCTGGAACATGGCAGTATATATATAGGCAAAAATCCTTAGCCTCGGAGAGGTGCAATGCCAAGTGAACAGATGCACTAATTCATTCAAATAATTTGTCAAACCGTTGGCACTAAGAAAACCAATGGTCAAACAAATTTGAAACGTTGACCGTTAGGAACTGTTTCAACATGTGTAGGTAATTTATTATTTACACTATTTGAAATATATATATATATATATATATTAAACTATTGAAATAGTTAAATAAATAAATAAATGAAGAGGTACAAATTTTAGGAAACTAAAATTTGAATTTAGAATTAAATTAAATTTCCACAATTACAAATTTTTTAGGAAACCACTTAGGAACCCAAAATTTGAATTTAGAATTAAATTAAATTCCCACAATAATTTTAATTGAAAAAATTCAAATGAATTTTATCTAAATAAAAATTAATGTTAGACCCGAAAACGACGTTAACTTCCCATTCACTCATAAATGGTTTTGACGTTCCGTCTTCACCGTGTGACGTGCCACGCGGCAAGGAACACGTCACCTCTTCGGACCCACCCCAAAAGACGTTTGGGGCCCACCTAAAAAGGGCTCAAAATTATGCCTATATAAAACTATTTTTTCAACAGATACTTCAAGACATCTAAATTCTAAGCACGAGAGCTAAATTTAGTAATCAAATCAATGTAAGTTATTACAAGGTTACAATTTCAATTTGTCCTTATAATGTATTATTCAAAAAAAATACAAACCTTTCAAAAAAAAAATCTCAACAAATTATACAAATTTTAGAAATGAAATGGAGGAGGAGACGTGGCAAAAGTAGAGAGAGCGTGCAAAGGAGGGAAGGGGTGAGCCCAATTTGTACAAAAGAGTGGATGAGGAGGCAACAATGCTAGGCCGCGAGGCGGTCCAAGAATAGACTCGAAGAAGAACATGCCTAGTGAGTGAGTACTGCTACTACTGGGTTTTACCAGGGCTTTGTTTGTATTCAATTCTCAATTCAGAAATTTGTGTAAACCTAAACCCAAACACTCCCCTCTCTCTCTCTCTCTCTCTCTCTCCGAAACACAGAAAAACACAGTTGAAAATTCCAAAATAAAAATCAAATCCAGTCTAAAGAGACCCAAAATTGGCATAGTCAAATCAACAATGAATATCGCGAAATCAAGATCCATTAACTCCCTCATGTCATTGAGACACCTCCGCCTATCGGCGGCCATCATCACTTGCAGAGACCTCTCCATTTCATCTCCATTCAATCATCTCTCTCCACTTCCTCCTCAACCCCTCCCCTCCTCCCTTCGCCATTTCCGCACCTCTCGCGATCCCAGTATGAGGTAGGTCTAAATAATTTTTTTAAAAAAAAAACCCTAAACCCTAATAATACTCGAACACACACACACATGTATACATATATATATATATATATATGTATAATACACACACACACACACACAGAGACAGTTGTTAAATGATAATGTCTGATGGTTTGGTTTGTGATTTTGGTGGTTGCGAGTTAAAAAAGGCATGAAATTCCACCTCCTGTAAATTGGGGCATCCGGATAGTCCCTGAGAAGAAGGCCTATGTGGTCGAACGATTCGGCAAGTACGTCAAGACTCTCACTCCTGGAATTCATTTGCTTATTCCTTTTGTTGAACGAATCGCTTACGTCCATTCCCTCAAGGAAGAGGCCATTCCCATTCCCGACCAATCCGCCATCACCAAGGACAATGTTAGCATCTTAATTGATGGGGTTCTTTATGTTAAGGTACCTATCAACTACTGTGTTTTTTTTTTTTTTAAATCCAATTTGTAGTTGTATTCGGTTGATGGTTGATTATGTTTAGTTGAGTAATTGCAGATTGTGGACCCTCGCTTGGCGTCTTATGGCGTTGAGAATCCCTTGTATGCAGTTATCCAGCTTGCGCAGACGACAATGCGTAGTGAGCTCGGGAAGATCACTCTCGACAAGACGTTTGAGGAAAGAGACACATTGAATGAAAAGATAGTGGTGAGAATTACTATCCACTTATTATATATGATTGTTGGGGATCTGATTATGCTAGCAAAGATTGTTAATCTCTGCATGACTAGTCTCATATATGGTGGACACAGCATAAACTGTGCTCGGATTGTCTGTACATTTTGTTGGAATGGAACTAAAAGAAATATAAAAATTGCTGCTGGATTCATAAGGAAGCAATTAGTTGAAACGTCAATTCACTTAATAGAATCATATTACCTGTTGTCAATGAAGTATTTTAGTTTAGTATGATTTAAAGGCTTAGAAATTCCATGACAGTTGATGTATTATTGTGGTAAAGGACGTGGTGTAGGGCCTTGCGCAGAAATTGAAAAAAAGAAGAAAGTGAGTTTTCATTTACATTAAAGTTATTGTTGGAACTTGAATTGCATTTCTGTAGCATTGGTTTCAGATGATCTCAGCTCAGAGTATGATGGAGTTTGCATTGTGTTTGCTGTTGCTAATGACATAATTGTAATGAAGATATATCTGGCACCAACTTGAATTAGAAGAAAGAGGCAACAAATGGTCTTCAGAATTCAGATAACAACACTACCAACATCATGTATATGGAGGATGAATTTAGAAACTAGGAACAAACACAACAGAATGGTCAGTCTGATGGCCAAGGGTTGCCCAAGATTACGTTTTCATCATAGTTAAATAATTCTTTAGCATGTACTGGAGAACTTGATTTTGGCACCTTTTGTAGGTAGGCTAGTTACCATGTATATAGCAAGGATGTTTCTGTCCAAGTTTTCTACAGATTCATTTTCAACTTCTCGTATTTGTTCTAAAAGCACTGTGTGTTCCAGATGGCCATCAACGAGGCTGCAAAAGATTGGGGCCTGAAGTGCCTTCGTTATGAAATAAGTAAGTGCTTTTTTGTCCAAATATCTATCTATCTCTCTATCTATTTATCTATCTATATCTATTTTTCTTTTTCTTTTTTTGGGAATTCTCTTCATTAATGTTTTCCTCACAACTTATCATATATGTCTAATTGTTTTTCTTCTTTAGGGGATATATCTCCTCCTCGTGGAGTGAGGGCAGCTATGGAGATGCAGGCAGAAGCTGAACGCAAAAAGAGAGCTCAAGTTCTTGAGTCGGAAGGTGATGAGGTTCTTCTTTTTGCTTTAGTTAGACTGTATACCAGTCCTGTATCTTTGATCAAATTTATGTGCTGATAATTTAGGCGTATAGCAGCTATAATTGACACATTTTAAGTTAAACAAAAAGAAGACCACTATCTTCAATTTGGAAACCCTACAATCCAGTAGGAGGGAAAATCCTTGAATCCACAAGGAAAGTGAAAACTCTCTGAATTAGCAACCAAACATATATTTTTGTTTTTACAGCATGTAGCTTGTTAATATGCTCTAAACAGCTTGAAAGGCAAGAAATAACTCCGTAAAATATATACCAATAGAGCAATTTACTAGGACTTAACACCTATCGTGAGGACTATTATGAGCTCCTGGTGAATGCATTCTCTGCAAATCCTCCACCATGAGAGAAGGCGGGATCTAGGAACACCCCAAATGATTGAGAACCTGGTTACCAAACTTTTATAGCATGGGGGCAATGGATGAGAAATTCACTGATTTCACCTATTTAGTAACATGCATAACCTTGTTAATGATCATTCAACCTTTACTAATCAAGTGATCCAATGTCTCTGTCTCCGTTGCTGCTGTCCAGGCAGAGAAAGCTGCTTTAAAGGGTGCAGCTGACCTCCCAGTCTCCCTAATGGGAAAGGTTTGAACTTGAAGTTAAGCCAACTTCAACATATTTTAATAAATATTTCACTGGGAACAAACCACTGTAGTTAAGCTAAGGAACCTTCTCCATTCCTCACTGCTTTAACCATGTAGGCCTTAACGGCCTGTCAAGGAAGGCCTCCATCCTACAGTTTATAGCAAGCACAGAGCACCTCAAAAGTGTGGTCTTTGACCGATGAATGTAGTTCACTACTATTGTCTTTTCCTCTTACATATGTTCCTGATAATTGATCTACTTCTATATTTAACAGGAGAAAGGCAGGCAAACATAAATATTGCTGATGGTAGGAAGAGTTCAGTGATCCTTGCATCAGAAGCTGCAAAGATGGACCAGGTTAATAGAGCACAAGGTCAGTTGTCGTATTTTAGTCAATCTATTATAGCTCTACTTATTTTATGTTTATTATTCCATGTGAATAGCAGGTGATAGTGATGCTTTCTGATTGAATGAAATGTATCCTTGATAATATATAAACATAAATAAGAATTATGGTGACTTTTGTGCTCTTTAGATCTAGGAACACCCCAAATGATTGAGAACCTGGTTACCAAACTTTTATAGCATGGGGGCAATGGATGAGAAATTCACTGATTTCACCTCCTTAGTAACATGCATAACCTTGTTAATGATCATTCAACCTCTACTAATCAAGTGATCCAATGTCTCAGTCTCCGTTGCTGCTGTCCAGGCAGAGAAAGCTGCTTTAAAGGGTGCAGCTGACCTCCCAGTCTCCCTAATGGGAAAGGTTTGAACTTGAAGTTACGCCAACTTCAACATATTTTAATAAATATTTAACTGGGAACAAACCACTGTAGTTAAGCTAAGGAACCTTCTCCATTCCTCACTGCTTTAACCATGTAGGCCTTGACGGCCTGTCAAGGAAGGCCTCCATCCTACGGTTTATAGCAAGCACAGAGCACCTCAAAAGTGTGGTCTTTGACCGATGAATGTAGTTCACTACTATTGTCTTTTCCTCTTACATATGTTCCTGATAATTGATCTACTTCTATATTTAACAGGAGAAAGGCAGGCAAACATAAATATTGCTGATGGTAGGAAGAGTTCAGTGATCCTTGCATCAGAAGCTGCAAAGATGGACCAGGTTAATAGAGCACAAGGTCAGTTGTCGTATTTTAGTCAATCTATTATAGCTCTACTTATTTTATGTTTATTATTCCATGTGAATAGCAGGTGATAGTGATGCTTTCTGATTGAATGAAATGTATCCTTGATAATATATAAACATAAATAAGAATTATGGTGACTTTTGTGCTCTTTATTTTTCGAGTAATGCTATACAAACAAAAAATTCATACATATCATACATAAGGAAAATTCTATTTATACACACCAAATTTCCTCACTCCACACACTTAATGAATCTTTTTTATATTACATTTTTATCCTAAAATAAAAATACCAAAATATCCTCATCTTTTCAACCGATATCCTAATTTGTTGGCCTTTTCCTTGACCACCCTAATCATGCTTGCCACCTCCGGCGAACCTACCGCTACTGACATTGCCACCATCATCCTCATTGCCCATTTCAACTCTGACGATACTCCCCGCCACCTCTACAGCCTCCTCTATCATTCAAACTTGAAAATATTTCTTTTCATTTTGGATTGAATGCAAGTGCATAGATTAGTGACCTGGAATACTTAAGACTGGCCATTTTTGTTCTATCCATTTGAGGAAATATAAATTGAAGTATGGTGTTTATGCAAATAATAGTTATGTGGCTTTGTAATTTACTTATTTAATCAATCTTCTTATCTGAAGGGGATGATTTAATAAATCCCATGAATTGCTATGTTTAATGGATCAAATACATAGCCAACAAACTACAGTTTGATACCATGCGATGAGTTGGAATGGTGTGTGATGGGTTGGTATCGTGGTTGGTGATGGTAGAGGGATGGGAATCGTGGTGGCGGATTAAATTTCGGGCAGAGGAGGCAGTGGTTGGTCGGCCGACAGTAAATGAAGAATGGTAAAAGTTATGGTTAGGATTAAGGTTTGAAGAAGGAAGGAGATGAGGACATTTTTGGTATAATAAGTTGTGTATTGAGTAAAAAATGAGATTTCAAATTCATTAAGTGTGTGTTTTAAGAAATCATGTGCACAGAAAAGATTTGGTGTGTGGAAATAGAAGCTCCCCATACATAATGATGTGGTTCATTTTGGACCTTTAACTTCAAAACAAAACACCATTAAAGATAGATTTATTTACAATAATGGCATTGCCACATCATTCTTGTCACAGAGAGAGAGAGAGAGAGACCCTTGATGTGTGTGAAAGGCATGGGTATCAATTTCACATATGGATGAACTTCATAGAGCTTTTATAATAATGTCACATGTCGAATGAACTGAAGCTTTACTGAATTCGGTTTTCCCTTTAGTAAATTGTTCATGTTCTTGTACTTTTGAACTCTGTGAAAATCAAAATGTGGAGGGCTTGTTCTTTTGATGCTCACCATCAGTTTTCTTGGGGCCACAGCTATTCTCTTCTGGACAGTCCACATTGTTTGGACAATACTTAAGCTTGATTATTATAGTAATGCTTCTCGGTTTCGTAAGTATTGTTACCCACCTCCCCAAAATCTTCCATTCCTCAAATTAATAATTTTTATCCATTTGACTTTTTGTTAAATCAGGAGAAGCAGAAGCAATTCTTGCCAAAGCGCAAGCAACAGCCAAAGGAATTGACATGGTGTCACAGGCTCTTAAAGAACACGGAGGTGTGGAGGTGAGGTCCTTCATTCCTCTTGATTGCACATATGGTATTTTAAGATTCCACACCTTACAGAAGTCTTTCACCTTCAATTGTGAAGTTGTCTTTATGATCTTATATTATACAATGACTTCATTTCTACAAGTGAATAAAAGCATGTTGTTTTTTTTAATATAAGTTGTGATTACTGCCCATCTTGATCTGACTTAGCACCTTATATTAACATGTAATTTGATCCAACAGGATATAGAAGTGATTGATATAAAATTGAATAGTTGATTAATTAGATATTCCAATGCATCATCACAAAGACCGAAGAACACTATTATTCTGTGTGGGCTTGAGGGCTGGGTCAGAGTAATTTGCACTCAGTTTTGGCAGGCCCTTTTCATTTGTTTCTTCTGTTTGGGATTGTGTGGCTTTTTTAGAAAAACTTTTGAACATAATGCTTACCATGCATGTAGTTTATTCTATACAAGCATCCTCTTGACAGTATAAATATTAAAGCAATTGATACCTAGAAGGACTACTTGAGTCTGTGAACACAGTGATGCAACTCTACAGTTGGTTGTGAGTTACATTCTAGGTTCAAGCTTGCACAATTGATGCTCTAATGGCTATCTGTAATATCTTGATGTTGTGTGCTTTGTTGTACCAGCATTTTTCTTTATGTTAGTTTCTCTTAAGAACTGTCAAAAACCACAAGTTATACCCTTTTTGGGCCTTTAGCCCAAGCTGAAGATAACAAAAGATGTGAATACTTCACAGCGGGCCAGAGTTTTTTGGGGATGGACAAGCTGTATTTTCCCTGCCTCCTTTTTCGACTCATTCTCAAATTCTTCAGGCTCTTGTTTACTGCATATTGAGGTTGCCTGCACTCTTGAGTTTTTTTTCCCTTGAAGTATTATATCCTGTTGTATTTTTCTGTCTCCCTTTTAAATCCATTCTCCAATTCTTGTTCGCTGCATACTAAGGTTGACTGCAGTGAGAACTTGTTATTGAAATATCGTTGATATCTGGTTATTGTACTTATGATATATATATATATATATATATTTTAAAATGTTTTATCTAATGACATCTATGAGAAAAACAGTCATTGCTTGCATCCTGTTACTTTTAGTATCATTCTTCATATGTGAGTTGAATATTTCCATTATCCAGTCACTAACACAATGCCCATGTGAACAAGGCATCCAGCTAATATAAAGTATGCCAAGTAATGGTTTTGGTTGTTGTATGACTGTGTTAGGAATGCATGTTATTCTTGCTTTCCTCTATTGTTGGACATTTTTCAGCCATTGGGGCTCATTTCCGTTCTTTAGATGGGTTTAAACATGAATTACACATTTGACAAACCATTGTCCTGTATTCTGCTCATTCTTCTTGCAAATTATGCAACTATGTACATTCCATGGGTAATCACTGGCAATGCTATTTAATACACAGCTCTCTGCACTCTCATTTGAAATGTAAGCAACCTATTGGTTTGATGATGTGCTGGATGCACGAGAAACCATGCGTTCTACTCTGTACAGCAAAAGTTTTATGGATACCTCCATTGAGCTGTTTCTGGTTGGATTAATTTTGTTATCATGCCTACAAAATAAAGATGCCAATAGGCATTTGGGAAGTTTCTATGAAATGTGGTTACTGAAGTCTAAATTGATTTTCATAAGCTGAAGAATTTATCTGTCTTATGCATTGAGGCTCAAAATTATACTGGGATTTGCAGGCTGCAAGTTTAAGAATTGCTGAGCAATATATTCAAGCCTTCAGCAAGATCGCCAAAGAGGTAAACAACAGAGCTATTAAACAGTGTCATAGTGTAATGCTCAAGTAATTTAAAGCAACGTTTTTTTTCACGTTTTCTGTACTTTTCCCATATCCTTTTAGGGCACTACATTGCTGCTTCCTACTTCGGCTTCCAATCCGGCCAGCATGATGGCTCAAGCTCTGAACATCTACAAAAGCTTGATTGGCAACAAATCTGATGATGCACTTCAAGATATCTCTCGTGCTGAAATCACAGGAAATGCCAAGGCTGAGCCACCCTCTGATAAAACTAAAAATGAAGGCTCTATGACAACTAAATCAACTGATGGAGATGATCTAAACGAGCCAGTTTTCACCCTGCAGAGCCCCAAGAAGGAACATTAGACTCGATGCCAGCTACCATATTCATCCAGCAAAGCAAAGGTCTATTGTGACAGTTGGTTCTCTTAGTTTTTGTGGATTCTTTTCCATGTTTAGTCCATTTTGTACTTATTTTTAGAGCAGGAAAAGCAAAGAATTCTGTAGGCTATTTAAGATTGATGATGAGATGAGAGGATAACTTCATTTTAGCATATAGAGTTTCTGAGATGGATGTGCTATTCAAGCAAAGTCCAATTGTGCTTTTTGAAACAGTAGCAGGAAGGTTTTTGAAAGATATTTGGTGACAACATTGTCATTTTGCTCTGTTAATGTTTTTATATTTTTCATGGTTGTCTAGATCAAGGTTTCAACTATTGATGTTTATTTTGTATCTGCATTGTGCTTTGACATTGGAACTTACTGATTTACTTTACAAGCTGATGTGGTTTGAATGATTGAATGCCTAGTAATAAAGAACTTGGCCCAAAATGAAATTATTGTCAAAAGCATTTTTTATTATATTTTTTTGTGGCATTTGTCATTTTACTCGTGCCAAATTTGTGTTGAAAGATATATAATAAATATTTGATTAGTAGAGATGCAGACTATGAAAATTGCATTATGTCAAATTTATCTTTTTAGCAACTTATTTTTTATGGTCCTACAGACTAAGACATAAAAGCCCTTCTCATGTAAGATCCATAAAGGAATTTGTGGCTTATGTAATACTTGGTCAAGTGTAATGGATTGTTTGGCATAGCATACTTGAGTTACTTATAACTTATTTTGTTTTATTTTTAGTTTGGTAGTCTGTACTTAACTATTTGGTAATTTATTCAAACTTATTAGACAGAAATAATTTCAATAAATTGAAGAAAAAAAATTGTCTAAAAGTTGGATGCCGTTGTCGTCTTGATGGGGTTTGAAGCTGGGCATTTTGCATTTTATAGAGCTTTACAAACAGATGATGGACATTGATGTAACTACTCTAGATTTTTTTGAAGATTTGATAAATCTCTTTGACTAATATAAAAGTTAGGACAACATTTGGGAAAATTTGTGAGGGAGAGAAATTATTGTGAAAAGAGACGACCTTTATAGTGAGATGATCCCTATTGCCTCAACCCTATGTGAGACAGAGATGAATTACGGAGATAACTATTGTCGCAACCAGAAATCTGAGATAGAGTAGCAGCTCTATGCAGGAGAGTTTTCAAATCTTCAATAGAGTAATACTGGAGGTGAGAGAAGTGGGTCTCTTGGAAAAGCCTTTGAGGTAGGTGTACTGCCCTATGGGTCTCAATCTTCTTCCTTTAGAGAGAGAGGGAGCTGTTGGACTGGTGAGCAAAATTTTCTAACAGAGTAATGGAGGTGAGAGAAAGGTAAAAGTGGGAGAGAGAAGTAACGACAACAAAAATGCTAGAGGCTCCAAAAATTCTACCAAAAGTTTTACCAAATATCTCACATGGGTGTGGAACCCACATGGGCCCCACATTGTGTGGGTCCCACACCCATGTGAGACATTTGGTAAAACTTTTGGTAGAATATTTGGGGTCTCTAGCATTACTCTAAGGACAAAAGATAAAGGTAAGTGGATTCTCTTGGGAACAAGATAAAGGTGAGTCCGAGTGATTCTCTTGAGAATGAAGTTGAAAACTTGTTTTACAGAGAATATTTCAATAAAATCCAACCAAACAAATTTTTGTATTTTTTTTTTGCTGTTCTCAAAAACTGATTTCAAAACACAAACCAATTACACCGGATGTTTTTAACTTCTGCTTTTTTACCATGAAAAATGTTTTCTATTGATTTTTATTTTTTATTGTATCATACACCAAAAAATATATATTTTCTGCACGAATAAACGGAACATTATAATAAGTTGTACCAAACATGTCTAACGAGTTGTGATTGTAATTTGTAGACTTAAAAAGTTCAATAATTTTCTCAATTTTGTTGATAGAATGGAGATTTCCATAACAAGGAAAATATGATCACATTATTAAATTTATATTTTAAATTAAAAATTAGTAATAAATTTGTATTTTTAATGAAAATGGTTAGTATAACTTGTAAGCTTTAACACTTATGAGCTTTAACACTTATGACCGTTAATTTTAAATTTTGATGATGTGTGATAACCATTTCAAATGAAATTAAAATTTTATCTCATTTATAAAATGAAAATGATTGTGAATCAAAGGGTTCAAATAGGATTGGAGAGGTAGGATTGGCCAAAGCATTCAGCTAATTCGCAAAACCTGACCTTAAATGGTCAATTTCGATATAATGAGCCAGAGGGATGGATGTCGATCTAACAATTTCAAAAAAATCAAATTTTAATCTATTGGCAGATATACAACTTCAATTTGTGAAACCCAACTTAACTGCAAGAAATTAGGAATTTTTTTTTTTTAATTTATAAGTATTGATATATGTACATATTATTTATATATTATATTATATTATTTATTTGTTCAATACATAATTTATTGAAACTTGAAAAAGATGCTGTTCCAGCTTTCAGATGCTTTTTCACTTTTCAAAAAAAGCAAAACCATGTTCTTCTTGCTGTGATCCTCCCTATTATATATTTATAATAAAAAAGTTTCATTACATCATTTAATAGTAAGTGTAATATTTAGGTCAAGTTTAGGAAGATTAAATAAGTATATTTTTTAAATTTTTTTGTATTATATGTAGAAAAAGTAGAGAAAAGATGTTGATTGATGTGACCCAAAAAAGATAAAAAGATAAAATAAGTGTACTTTTTTAGGTTAGCCAAACTTAGCCTTATTTTTAAATTCAAAAATGCCTTATACCCCAGCTGGGGTGCTGGGGATCGGCTCCTATTGGACAAAAAAAAAAACTGTTTTTTTTTTTTTTTTAATTTTCGGCCAACCCCAGTGCGTCACGTCACTGGGGTTAACCCCCACCGGGGGTCTGGAGCACAACCCTTTTAAATTTTAAATAATTATAATTTTGTATTCCTATTTTATAATCAGTAGATTTGTAATAAAAATATTCCATCACATGCATGGAATGAAATCGATCAAACTCGTCCTCGTTCAGTTAAAAAGTTTAGAAATTTTATAAAATAAGATTTGTATTATTTGATTTTATGAAATTAGTCTGAATTGCATTCACCCATCAATTCGTCCAACCCACCGTGTCAATTTCGAAACCATTCTATTCTTTTGGTTTGGATTTTCAAAATTTATTTTTCAGAAAATTTATTTTTTTCATTTTTTGTATTTTTTTAAATTTTTTTTATTGAATTTCTTTAATATTCTAAGCATTTTTCTTTTAAATTTTTAAATACACCTAAAAAAAAAAAGTGATTGATTTGTGTTTGTAAAGTAATTTTTAAGATAAAAAGTACAAAAACTTGTTTAGTTTGCCTTTTTTTCAAAAATGGTTTTGAAAAATTATTTTGGCAAGAGTTTTAAAAAAAGTGATTGATTTGATGTGTATGAGAGAGAGTGGTTTTAGAAAGTAAGTAACAAACAAAATTTTGAGATTTTTTTTGAAAAAATTTATTTGGTTTGATTACTCTTGAAAATTTGTTTGTAGAGAATTTTTTTAAAAATTTTTTCTGAAAAACAAACCAAACAAGGCCATAATATTTGTGAATTTTTTTTTAAAAAATTTACTAAATATAAAAAATACAAAAAAAAAAAAACAAGAATCCAATACAATTTTCATATTCTTGTGTATTTATTGATTTTTTAAAATATTTTTTACAAATATTTTACTTTTTAGATACATCTAAGTAAAGTGCATCTAAAAAAATATAAAAAAAATTTCTTAAAATTTTAAAAATATTCACTAAAAATAAAAAAAATATGAAAAACAAAAAACTCAATTTAAAAAAAATTAAATCTAGAAAATTGAAACCAAACACACTAGATAGTTGTCGAAATGCAAATGAGATTTAAACTCCAAACCCCATTCAATCGAGTGGCAGACGACATAACCCGCCTAACCCAACCAGCAGCCAAAGCCCCTAATTGGAGGTGTTACAAGACCTTGTGCATTAGAACGTCCACAATAGACGCGTTAGTGTGTTAGTGTCAGGTGTTAGTTTTTGACCAGCCAAAAACATTATTGGGTGCTGCATTGGATGTGTTAGTGGGTGTGTGTTTGTGTTATACGTTACTGTTAGCTGTTAAATTGTGTATTTACTGTGGCAAGCCTTCTAACCAGCCAAGAGAGAGAGAGAGAGAAAAAAAAAAAAAAAAGAGGAAGACCAAACACTTTGTAAAGCAGCAGGTCGACCCCAAGTTGACCCCCAGCCGAACCCCAGGTTGACCACCTGATCGACCTGTCAAGGGCAATTTATTTATTTATTTATACTTGTTGGGCATTTTTTTTGGGCTTAAAAATTTTGATTAAATTAAATTATTTATTATACATATACATATACAAACTTTAACACAAATCTTAACATATTCATTGCAACACCATTCACTCTCTAAAAATAATAAACTCTTAACACACCTTTAACACACATTTTTGAACCCCACTTTTTATACTTTTTGTTATATAACACACACTTTAACAAATATTTTTAGCTATTCCGATACTCTTAAGAAATCAATAGAAACTTGTTCGGTTCGATTTGGGAAACTTTAGCCTTCTGATTTTACGCGTTGGACTAATCCAATCCACCTAACATATGGAATAGGGCGTTGGCTTTCTCTCTCTCAAACAATAAGCAGAGAAAACAAACTACAGCAAGACGATGATGACACCAAAGCCACTGACCAAGTTTGACAACTCCAGAAGCGGCCGAACAATAACCAACAATTGAAGAATGAATGGAGGAGACCTACCCTATGTAGTATTATTAAAATAAAAATAAATAATCCCAACACACAAATCTAGCCAGCGCAGTTCTGTGGAGTGTGTTGCTGCAGAAACTGAAAGATGATCTGCAAAAGTTGCCAGATGATCAGGAACTTGATGAATTTGCTGGCACCCCAGTTGAAGGTTTCGGTGCTGCTTTATTTGCCCGCTACGTATGGCGTCAAGGAAGAGGGATCGGGAGGAAAGCTGGAAAAGATTTCAGCATCAAACATTGTGGTTGTGTAAGGGCAAGAGAAGGTTTAGGGTTTAGCAGTCGTCAACAAGGTTACAAGATAATCAAGAAACAAAACAGACCAACTGGTTGGCTCGCAATCCAAATCTGGGTCAGATTAATAAGCAAAGATTTTCAAGTAGGACAATTTTACTTGAAAGGAGAGGTTTTGTGTCAGTGGACCGACAACATGTGATGTATTCATAGACCATGATAAAGAGCTAATCCAAGGTATGGAGGAAGACTTTCTTGAGACATTGCTCCCACAGCTTGGAGGTGTGAGAAGAAAGGCATTTATGGAAGACTAATGGAAAGAGAGGACGAAACAGCCATCGTCCAAGATGATGATAGCCTCACATTGTTTAAGGTGTCTCTCTACCAAATTGCAGAATACGTAGAAGGATACTGAATTTTCTCTCATTGCAGGCACTACACACTACTTGAGGATCGATTCTTACAGAGCTGTAAACGCTACTACATTTTCTTGCTTTTTCAAGGTTTTAAGAATATGATTATATTTGTAATGCCAAGTATTATGACAGAATACACATATATTTGACTTTCTCAGTTGTTAAGGCATATTTTATCCTCCATTTTTCAATCCTGGTATTTATATATTTAATCAAGCACAGAAATAAAAATACTTATAACAATTCAAGATAAACGTAGAAGAAAGAATGAACTAACTAGCAAGCAAACACCGTAGACCAATCATTTAGCATGTCTGCTCATGATGAACTGACCTAGACCAGCAAGGAGAACTATGAATTCTATCATTAGAACTCTCCTAGAGACCACAAATTGCTTGTCGTTTTCCACAAGTTCGTCTCTGAATCTTCCAGTCCAAAGATTCAAGTCATTCTAAGGTATACAGGTTGGGCCACAGTCACAGCATATATACCAATTTCCCGTAATCAAGTCACTTACCATGTGTAACCTTGATTCCCTATCAAAGTCCCAGACATACTATGGTTGTTCAATGATAAACACCTGCATGCACTGACTTGCAGAATCTTTGCATCTCAAGAGAAATTTGACACGGTGATATTGTAAAGGACACGCACATAACTTCATGAAGGTCATGTACTGATACATCCAAAGCTATAAGCAATCTCAAATATTGTTTCCACACACAGTTTACAAAATGTCAAAAACCCAACATAGTGGAACTGAAAGACCCCTATGACTTCTATCCATGAAAAAAGCACATCCTTTCATATATCCAAGCACTTGCATTTTCTCTTGCTTGCTATTTGAGATCAGCAAACATGAAAAAATTCAGATCTAGCAAGGTAAGTAGGTATGCTACTTTCCTATATCTTGAACGCCACACCAACACGTTTGATCTTGATCCTAACTATCCCAACAAAACCCCAACCTCTCTCACTAATCAATGAATGACCTAACTATTTATGATTATATTGCCAACATCAAAATTTTGCAGTCAACCTAATACATAACACAAAACAAAAAATATCAAAGCCCGTCAAATTGTTGTACACAAACCTCCCCATAAGTCGCTAAGTATAACATCAGAATTCTGAACCCAATTTTTCTTCACCACTAGCAAGACCATATCATGTAGCTCGACTCCTAATCAACAGAATGCCGCCTGCTGAGTACCAATCAATTGATTCTTTATAGCGAAAAATAAGTGAAGGTTTAAATCATATTTTCTGCCTAATGCTCAGGCAAAGACGGATCATCACAAAGACTTTTACCTAAAAAAAATCATTCATAATTGATTGTCTCAACAGAGTTGAATAATTTAATAATAAATACACAAATCTCTCTTAATTCCTCAAATTTTACGAAACAATAAAAAATGAGATGAACAATGGCCGTAATTCTCCCTCTTTAAATACAGTAATCATATACATACAGACGTATCCGAATCACAAAGATCAGAACAAATTAGAAATTAATAAAATAAAATAAAAAGATCAAATCGTAGCAGATCTAACCTCGAATCGAATGCAATCAATTGAAATAAAATCAGAGAAGATTTGAATGAAGTGAAGTCGATTCATTCAGAGAAGGCCGAACAAGACAGAGAAACCAAGCAATATGAGCCAGACGATGTGAACCAATAGGAGTGCCTGACCAGAGAGCGAACCACTTCCCCCATTCCCAACCTCACAAAACCCTAATTTGGCGACTCGAGTGCCCGCGCAAAGCGCGTCGGAGCAGCCGCACCAGTAGGTGACGCCGTCGACGCCGCAGACGGGGTCGGTCCGGAAGCACTTGACGGGGCAAGACGCCGGAGCCGCCGTGCCGGAGCAGAGATCGCCGCCGTTGTCATTTTCAAGGGGTAATCGTAGGATGGAAGAATCAGATCGGACGGTGGGGGAGAAGAAGAGGCCAAAGACGATGACGATTACGAGAGAGAAGGTAAATCTTGAAATTCCGGGCATGGTCGGCGAGCTTTCGCTTTCTTTGGAAAAGAGAAAGCTTGCCTTTTTTTTTCTTCTATATGATATGTATCGTCTATATGGAAATTTCACGATTACAGATACACCGAAACCCTAATGTATTCGTTGTTAGAGAGATGGTTTTATTGAGAAAAAGATAGATACACCGAGAATCGATAGAGATACAAGTTTTATTGAACGGTTCTATTTTTTACGAATGTTCAACAGCGTTTTTCTTCAGTCAAAAGCAAGGTATGATCTTGCTTTGGACTAGTGCTGCAAATGACAAGGTCACGATTCTTTTTCATTTTTTTAAACTTCTATCTGATATTTGTAAATTAATGTTTAATTTACATTAGTCAATAAAATTTTATTATATATATATATATATATATATTTAAAATATCTTAAAGGAAAATGTTTGAGGGTCACAATGGTTTAAAATTGTTAAAATGACGTTATTTTGGATGTAGAATATGTTAAAATGACATCATTTTAATAGTTTTGACCCATTATAATCACAAAAATTATGACTCTCTAGCATTATTGTATTTATAAATTAATGTTTAATTTACATTAGTCAGTAAAATTTTATTTTATATATATATATATATATATTTATTAGTGGCATATGTGCCTGTGTTTTTCCTCAACATCCAAGATACATATAAACTAGAAAAAAGTAACTTTGCTATTTCCTTTTGCAGGGATCATTAAGAAAACAAGAACTGTGATGGAATGTTTGCACCGCTTTTGCAGGGAGTGCATCGACAAGTCGATGCGTATGGGGTATGTAACAAAACTATTCCAACATTATCATCATCTAAGAAGCATAGACACTTCTTAAAGGTAACGTGTATTACAAGTTTGAATAAAAATAACTTGGAATCCAGTGATAAAACAAAAACAATGTAAATTTATACAGTCTGTTTTTCTTTGGAATTTAAAAATAATAAAATAAAGACTTGTCATTCTTAATTTTTTTCATAAGATTTGTGAGGAAAAAAAAATCAAGCCACACTAGATGGAATAGAAATCAACAAGAAGATGACCAATCCACATCTGTAAAATAGGGCATCTTTAGTGTCCCAACCAAACAATAGAGGTGTTTGTTTCAGTTTTTCAGAGTTAATTTATGGCTTTTAGCTTTGAAAAAGTTATTTTAGATTGTTTGGTTAAACTTATTTCAAACAGTTTCTTATTCTAACAGCTTATTTTAACTCAAAAAAATTGATTCTGAGAAGCTGTTTACCCCTTATTTCTGATTATCAGTTTCTGCTGTGGACATGTTAATTTTTGGTTCTACTCTTAAATTTTTTTATTTTTTATTTTTTTAAAAATAGAAAAAGACCTAAATGGACTATAGATTATTATTATTATTTTTTATGAGAAATGTAGACAAACAAAAAGTAAAAATTAATTGAAAAAGCTATTTTACAGCTTATTTAATAAACACTACTCAGCAACTTAAATCTATAATCCAACAGCTACATCAAACAGATTAACAACTTCTGATTAAAGTCATAATCTATAATCTGTTAAACTATAATCTATAAACTGTTTTAACAAGTACACCAAACATGGTCACTTTGATATTTTAGTAAAGATAATCACAAATGAAAGAGTAATTTACTTTTTTATACTATTTCTAGAGTCCACATAATTAATTGAAATTGAGAATAAAAAAAAAAAAATTAACGAGCTTCAAAATATATTTAAATTTAATTTATTTATATAACTAGCCAATCTTAAATTTAAATGTTTGATAAATTAGACATGAATCAAACTTAATTAGCTTGATTATTTTTCTAGTTTATTTATACCTTTGCCATACTCCTGCAAGCTTTCTACAAACTGAAAAGAGAGTTGTGTCACCTCAACTTCACTTGGAGTAATTATTTCATAATTATTACTCCCTCTGTCCCAAAATATTAGTTCCTTATTTCATTTTTCATTGTCCCAAAATATTAGTCCCTCTTCAAAAATCAAGTACAAAAATAATATAAATTTCCTATTTTACCCTTCTTTTAAATTAATAAACAATATAAAAAGTACAATTATGACATTGATATTCTCAAAAAATGTACTATCAAAAGAATAATTTTAGAAAATCAACTTTTTTTAGATGCAATAATTGTACTATCAAAAAAAGTTAAATTCTCTAAAAAAGACCATTATTTTGGAAAGGAGGGAGTAGGTTATTGTTTTTTTGTTTTCATCACTCAAGATCACATCGAATAGAGTAAAATTCCAAATCTCATCTTTTTACTTTTTTTAATGGGATGACTTTTGAACAAGTAAATATCTGGTTCCTACTTTATCCAATGTATTCAATTCAATGATAAATGGTCAAGATAAAAAATGACACGGTAATTTCGATCAATAATAATTTTCTCACTTACGTAGAAGTGGAAGAGAGAATTTGACAAAATGAGAGACACTAGGCACCAAAATTTCAAACTGTCTTCAATGGTCAAAACTAACTCCTAAATTGGGACTATCTCAAACCCATCCAATCCTTAAAATTTGCCAACAAAAACCATATTGTCCATACGAAAAAGTCACACAACATAGAATTGGCCACAAATACTATATGCTCCATGTTAAACGCTTTCGAGTCTCCCAAACAATCTCTCTAACATTAGAAATTCACAAGTAGCTCCAACTTCTATATATAACCTCTTGTTCCTCTTCTTGTTCAATTCAGCCTCAAAAAGTGTTTACTTATTTGCATATTCAACTTCTAAATTTCAACACCCACCTCCTCCTCTCGCCCACACGTCCCATTATCAGTTGCCAATTCATGGGAGGCTGTGCGAGCAGACCCAAGGATTTGGATACCAATCAAGAACCTATTCATGCTGAGGATCCAACCACCCCAAACAAGGCCGAGGGCGAGAATGTTCCACAAGTAACACTACTAATCCTATGAATTTTTCCTAGTTTAATTCATAAAGTCTATTGACTGGGCATGGGACCTGTCCCAAAAATTTGTAACCCCTTGTCCCAATTCACTAATTGAGGATGAGAATTTTGGGACAGTGAATCCTTGCATCTTGATAGTCATACTAAATGACTCCTCAAGATTAGAAGTTACTTATATAACTTGACATCTCACGTTTTTTTTTTTTCAGAAACTTGAAGACCCTTTTCCTGTGCAATGAACTTCTTGTACCTAACTAAATCAGCAGTGCAAACAGGCTTATAGTCCTGTAGGTGATCAAGGGGTTTCCAGCCATTGGTGAGGAAGGTGAAGTACTAAAAAACCATCTGCTCCCCCTAAACAGAGCTCTGAATAGAGCGGCGTAACTTAAATGCCTGGGAGAAATTCCTTTTGCGAAAATAACTAGTAGCCACAGCATCCCAAACATCCTTGGCAGTCTCCATAGACAAGTAGCCATCGCCAATGTCTGGTACCATCGAATGAATAAGCCAACCCATAATCAAAGAGTTGGTAATCTCCCGTTGGTCATAACCCGAGTCAGTGGTGCTGGGTGCCTGTATCCTACCATCAACATAACTCGTCTTCCCTCTGCTCTTCAAAAACATAGTCAAACTCTGCAACCACGCTAGATAGTTCTGACTATTAAATAGAAAGGTGATGATTTTAATACTAGGGTTGGGGTTATTAGTCATAGTAGTAGGTATCATGGACCTCTCACTCTTAGGTGTCGCCACACTAGTGGAATCTGCCATAGATACTATACTACCGAACCCTTAACAAAACTAGCGCCAATCACAAACCTGGAAGGTGGTGATGGAAGGGAAAAAAAAACACAATGACCACTATGACAATATAAAGAATTAACAACTCATACTCTTTTTTTTTTTTTTTTTTTTTTTAAATATACAGAGGACACGATATATGAAAAACAAATACATATATAATTTTATATATTTATTATATAATATATATATATATATATATATATATGAATTGGTAATTATTATATGTTATATGAATATTTAAAGTTTAAAAGTGGATGAAGCGGTAATTTTCAGGATAAATTTTCTAGGTACTGAAGATTGCTTATAATCTAATCCTAAAAGGAAGATAATTCTAATGCTGGATTTTAATTATAGATTTGGATAGGAATTTATAAAGGAAAAGAGAAATGGAAAAAAAAAAAAAAAAACTTATATTTCATTTACATTTGCGTCACCTCTCTTTTACTTTCTAAATTCCTACCCAAATCCATAATGCAAACACAGTCTAAAAGAAACTTAAATTTCTTTACATTTTGCGTAAGTATTATTGAATAGTACAAGTTAACTGGGCATTCAAATTCCAACCACATACTGATTCATACATTGTGATTCCAAAGACACTTCATTTACAAGGAAAAGTTACGAGCACCGAAAAAAAAGTGCACTGAAATCATCAATCTGTCACTTTTATTTGCAAATATGGATGCAAATTGATAATTATGAACAAATATGAGGAGTCGATGATTTTGGTGATCGTAACAGTTGCATTTACAATTCAGATGAGAAAGAAAGTATTGCTGGTGAAAGAGCAGCCTCCTTGGAAAGTCCGTTCTTGATCAGTCTGATTGTCATCTTCCACAGCCAACACAACCAGAACTGCCAGAAGTGGATAGCTGAGTGTAGTCAACGACCAATTAGCAATCATTTCGGCCAAAAATGGCACCTTGTGTGTATCAATTTGCCAAGCCACTGCTGCCCCTGCACTTTGCACTCCCTTATAGAATCCAGTATACCTACATCATCAAAATTTACCATATATAATCAACCCAAATTGGATTATGTAACAATAAGGGTGGAAATCGTAGTGTTGCTCGTGTTCATGTCAGGTACATGTCAGAATTTTTTTAAGGCTAACCTAACCTGTTTATTTTTTTGTATTTTCGTGGCCGGTCAGCTTGAGTCCGTGTCCAATGAGTGCAATTAACCTATAGTGTATAATTTGTGTCCTGGAAATTTCTCACCCTTTGGTTACAATTGTGAAAATAGTGAAAGAAATTACCTGCTAAGGGTCTCGGAATCATCAGCCAAAGCACCCATGATCCAGTAAACCGTGCTCTGAAACATGGCATCAAGCAGCCCATAAGCAAAATACAACACCAACGGTCCTGCGAATTCCGAACCATTGTCCTTAAAATCCAACCTCTTAGGCAGATCATGGCGCGAGTATTTGAGTTGATTCACAAGCCCACCAACCCAAATTCCAGTCCCGACCAAACCAACAATCCCAACACTCACAAGTCCTCTCACCCTCCTACTCTTAAAACTGAAATCGATTATGTATCCGATCACCAACGATCCAATCATCTGCGCCGTCCAATAGCACATATTGGTCAACCCTCGAGTCCTAAGATCGAACAAAACTCCATTGACATTGTTGAATTGGTAACAGTGAACAAAGTTACTAGCCCAGGCCGCGGGTGATAGCAACAGCATCCTCCAATTGAGAAACAGTTTGAGTATTTCAGTTGATTCGACTGAAATACTCGAGTACTTAATGCTAGTACATAGAGAACTGTCGTCGCGAATTACGCGACTGGGGTGTAGGATTGCAAGGGAAAGGAGAGTGCCAACCAACATGAAAATCATGAAACCGATGTAGGTGGCGTCGTTTACAGAGGCTGCGGCAGTGGTGGCGCCACGGTGGTAGTTGAGGATGAACGGGATGAGGCCGCCAATGACGCCGCCCATGTTGAAGATGGTCCAGAAGAGGGAGATGTAGGTACCTTTGCGGTCAGCTGGGGGGTAAGCGGTCATGATTGCCCCCTGGCCAGCCCAGAGTAGGCCAGCGCCGACGCCCAGGAGAGCGCCGGCTGTGAGGGCGAAGGGCTGGTGGTGGTAGTGGTTGTAGTAGAGGAAGGAGCCGGCGTAGAGGACGTAGGTGGAGCAGCCAGCGAAGAGGGTGGTACGTGGACCAAGGATGTTGTAGATGCCGCCACCGAGGATGCCAAAGACTGCAAACGTGGTATAAAGGGCAGTGTTGGCGTTGTTGGCAGCCGTGGGGTCCACCTGCCCTCCGCCGCCCATCCCTGACAAGGCGTTGAACATCCCGGGACAACAAAAGCATACTAATCCAATCAGAGTCACTTGAACTAAGGGTGAATTGTACCTAAAAATGGAAGATTTCCTCCTCATCATCTTTGTTTCTTCATCCCCTTGTAAACCCATAATGTGATTCGAATTTGGATGAGAGAGAGAGAGAGAGAGAGATTGGAAGTATTTAGGAGATTCAAAGATGAGCACTACACAATAAATACTTATGAATCGCTGTTATGCTTGTCCTGTAGTTGGTTGTATTTCCGTTTACAGTTTTTTACTACTCCATTTATACAGAACGGCATATGAATTAGCAGCGGAGTCTGACAATTCAGATATGTAAATTTTATTAATGCCAATTTTAAAAGGAGATGCTAAATCCATTGTTCTTGTGAGTTGTAAAATGCTTTATGAAAACAAAATTAACAGCTTCATAAAAGCAAAATTACAATGCCAAGGGAAGAGGTGTTTGATGACTGAACTTTTTCTGTCAAAATCCAAAACAGTTAAGGGTTGAGCTGTTACTTCTGGTAAAAGAAGATGGATGAAAGCTTAGTTTGTTTTGTATGCCTCCAAATTGTACAATTTCACATATGCTGATTTCAAATATACTTGATTGGCACCAGGTTATTTAAAACTTTTAATGGAAAGTGATGGATCACTAATTTGTATCCTTAAACAACGGGTGGGATTGGTATCTAGTAATTGGAATCAACTTAGAATTTTTTTCTCTTCCTTTTGGCAGTACTCTATGCTAAAAAAACAGCCGGCCGGCCGGCAGCAAGTAGCACTCCACGCATCCAATTGATTAAAAAAAAAATAAAAAAATTCCATAGCCCAAAATCATGTGAGTAGGAGATGTTGGTATTTTGAGTTGAGTTTAGAATCAAACAGCCTATATATAATATACACTCCAAGTATTCAGGCAAATCGACAATTCTAACATATTCTGTATTCTTTTCTCTCTAATCTCTCTCTAGAAAATACAAGAGTGCATGAAGCGAGTGTTGAATATTGGCTACAGATTCTGGAGGTCACCCCATGTGAAAGGGGTGATCCTCAGGTCAACAATGGAAGGCAACCAACCAAGGCAACCAACCAAGTCAAGCTTGGTGGCCACCAACCATGTCAAAAGTCAAGAATGAAGGCTCTCCCACCTACTCCTTTGTGTATAAATAGAGACGGGAGGGAGAGGATATAGAGCATTAGATTTGGAGCTGAGAGGTGTGAGTTGAGAGCAAAGAGAGAGAGAATTACAGCGAGTGTGTAATTCTTACCATTTTGTTCAATATAGTGAATCCGCTGCCCGTGGACGTAGGCGACTTGCCGAACCACGTAAAAACTTGTGTGTTATTGTTTGTTTGAGTTCCCTGGTGTGCCCCCGATCCTCAACAATTGGTATCAGAGCTCGGGTTGCGAAAAATCGAATTTTTCCCGAAAGTGCCCAGATTTCGAAGTGCTCAAAATCCACTTTTGACCATACCAGGAGGAAGTACTCCCCGAGAGGAGTCCAGAACAGCAAAAACAGAGCCAAGAAGCCTTCACACGCGCCCTCACGCGCTCTCTACACAAAGCGCGTCAGCCCCAGTCGCACCACGCGCCACCACGCGCCGTTCAGGCACCGGCGCGTGATCTCCAATCTCACCCACGCGCCACACGCGCGTCTCCCAGGAAGAAGACGAGCCACGTGGCGCCACGTCAGTGCCACGTCAGCGCCACGTCATCCGCCACGTCATCGCCACGCGTCCGACAGTCAGGCCACGTGTCAGACACGTGTCAGCCACGTGTCAGCCCAGTCAGCCTGAGCCGCTGACCAGCCGCGTTGACCAGCCGTCAAGCCGTTGACCGCGCCGCCGATCCTCCGTTGACCGCGCCGCCTGCGCCGTTGACCGAGCCGTTGACCAGCCGTTGACCGGAGAAAGTATCCGGTGCATCTCAGCGCACCAGATTCTTCAGATCTGACCCGTCCAAAGTGTTTTTGCCAGATCGGAGCCATTCGGAGTCCGTTTTTGACGATCCAATAGTGCTTCCCAACTATTTGGAGTATTCCGGACACATCTGTATAATTCCAAACTAGTTTATTTCTGTTTGAAAACGGGAAGAGCCCTGTTTGGATGTACAGAAAATCCAAATAATTTAATTTGAATTCTGGATTTTATTTTAATAAAAAATAAAATTAAATTCAAATGTTTTTGGCCCAAAAAGATTAGAAGCCCAACCGGACGGACGGACGGCGGCGGCGCGCGCGTGCGTGTGGTGATTTTTGGGTCCAATGGGTCTAGCCCATTTTGCCCATAACCTCTCCCTCTAAAACACTTGGGTACCCCTTGGGGCACACCCCAACTATCTCACCCTAAGCCTTATAAACCCTTTCAAAACCTCTCACCAAATCAATGTGGGACAAGCCAATTTACCACCTTAAGGAATTTCCACCAAAACTCTATTTCCATGGAGCACACTTTGGCTTCAATTTCCCATTCACTCGGTAATGGTTTTGAGCAACCAAATATACCACGTGAATCAAAACGCGGCATAGAACGCGTTACCACTTTGACCCGAGTAAATCGACACTCGGGGCCCACCTAAAAAATAGACCGAACTTAGAAAAAAATTCTGATTTTATCCAGAATTTTATAACCATTTCCAACACACTACACAATAAATACTTATGAATCACTGTTATGCTTGTCCTGTAGTTGGTTGTATTTCCGTTAACAGTTTTTTACTACTCCATTTATACAGAACGGCATAAGAATTAGCAGCGGAGTCTGACAATTCAGATATGTAAATTTTATTAATGCCAATTTTAAAAGGAGATGCTAAATCCATTGTTCTTGTGAGTTGTAAAATGCTTTATGAAAACAAAATTAACAGCCTCATAAAAGCAAAATGACAATGCCAAGGGAAGAGGTGTTTGATGACTGAACTTTTTCTGTCAAAATCCAAAACAGTCAAGGGTTGAGCTGTTACTTCTGATAAAAGAAGATGGATGAAAGCTTAGTTTGTTTTGTATGCCTCCAAATTACAATTTCACATATGTTGATTTCAAATATACTTGATTGGCACCAGGTTATTTAAAACTTTTAATGGAAAGTGATGGATCACTAATTTGTGTCCTTAAACAACGGGTGGGATTGGTATCTAGTAATTGGAATCAACTTGGAAATTTTTTCTCTTCCTTTTGGCAGTACTCTATGCTAAAAAAACAGCCGGCCGGCCGGCAGCAAGTAGCACTCCATGCATCCAATTGATTAAAAAAAATAAAATTCCATAGCCCAAAATCATGTGAGTAGAAGATGTTGGTATTTTGAAGTTGAGTTTAGAATCAAACAGCCTATATATAATATACACTCCAAGTATTCAGGCAAATCAACAATTCTAACATATTCTGTATTCTTTTCTCTCTTATCTCTCTCTAGAAAATACAAGAGTGCATGAAGCGAGTTCTTGGATTGTGGAATTAAGAACATCGTTCAATCATGGTAAGAGTATTCCACCACTAAGGGTAATGATATACAAACTGATATTTTAAACATAATTTACTTGCAGAATAATATGGCCCCTTATGTTCCTTTCATTTCCCACCAAAAAACATTTATAATATGAAGAATCATTGCTATGGTTGTTGAGTTTTTGTATGAAAACTCTATTTGTAAATCATTTTTTTTTTTTGGCAGAATGTTATTTCGACTCTGATTCAGTTAGTCCACCATATCCCAAAATATTGAGACATAACACAATTTAGAGAAGATGACATCAACCTCTAATTGACAATAAGTATAACCGAGTTCCTTTACAAGAGGAATCATTTTACTGTTGAGCCAAAAAAGAAAAGAAAAAAGTGTAGAACTATAATCGTATATGAAGTAGGCAAAATCTGCATTAAAAAAGTACTCCAGCATCAGATTAATATGCTTCGCTTTTTTTCTTTTTCTTTTTCTTTTTCTTTTTCTTTTTTTCAACAATTTGTACTTAATTTGTGAGGCATACCTAAAGAGACTTTTGCATAAACTAATTTGAGAGAGAACCGGTTTATCAAGCGAAGTTGCGTTGCTCAATATGGGCTAGGTCCAACCCGTGGGCTAACATGAGCCTTATAGAATCCAGTTTGAGTATAAGGAATGAGATTCCATCTACATACTCATAAAATGTAAAGTTAAACAAGTAATGTGGAACAAATGCAAAAACTATTATACAATCAAACATAAGAACTTGCCACAGCAGTGTGTGTTGGTACTTACTGCAAAACCAGTAAAAGCTACACAGCTCAGCTCAAGCCTAAAATACTTGCTTAGCTCTAATGGTTTGTTCAAAATTTATTTTCTTCCTTTTTTTCCCACCCTTTTTGGTAGATAGGGCTTTCTTGAATTTTGGTCATTTTGAGCTTTCACAATTAGTAGTTCATTTCGTTGCACATTGTAGAGAGAACTAATCCACTGTATTAAAAAAAAGAAAAAGACAAAAAGAAAGAGCCACTTCACCTTTGTTATACATATTTATGTTTGGTGAAGTAGTTTTTTTTTTCCTTCCCAATCTCTTTTCAAGATAATTGTGACTTTGAAAGGTTAGACATGACTAAGATCAGTGAGATACGAAAATAAAAAAGAACAAACACACAAGAATTGTAAATTACGTGCATACACAAAGAAACAATAGTTACCTTCATGGTTGTTACAATTTCACTATGATTAGAAATGTTACAGAAAGTATCCAAAAAATAGTCATTCACCCTCAACTATACATATAGAAATTATGACAACAGTTCACAAGTACAAAAATATAAAATTGCCCTTACTGCATATCCGGGTTTGGGGAAAGCATGAACCTTCGGGCACCTCAGCCAGCTTACCTCTAAGTTGGATAGACAGTCAAGAATAATGTCTAGAACTTGTCAGGATTTACATTACCCAACAAGATAGACGCGGTGATAGCATTAACCAGGGAGGTTGCAACAGGTTGGGGAGACTTCTACAACTTGTTCCAACAATGAAGGGCAAGTGAAGTAGATCCATTAATTTGTTACTTTCTGTGGGTAACTGGTGAAGCCAAACCAGATTTTTTTTTTTAAATATATATATATATATATATCGTTTTTGTTTTTGTTTTTGTTTTTGTTTTTGTCCTCTGTTTCATTTTTAAATTTATTTGGTAAGTCTTGATGTTGA